GCTACATTCAACATACCATGTGATACACAAAAATCAATATTTATCTGTGTTTTTTTAATATTTCCTAAGCCTAGCATTTAGCCCTAATGACCTACTTATAACTTCATCCCCACTGTTAATTCTGGGCAGTATCCCTGACAAACGTAAGTCATGGCTGTTTTCTTTAAGTGCCTTTATCATCTCTTTATACTTATTAATTGGCTCCTCTGACCTACCTTTCTCTACATCATTAGCCCCAACATGCACTACAAAAACTGCATCTCTGTTAGCCCTCTTTGTCATATCTCTTGTTCTGTCAGTTATATCCTCCACTTGTGCCCATGGATAGCATAATCTGATTCTTTTCTCTCTATTTACCCCTTAGACTATTCTATCCACATGCCTTATCAAGGAATCATCTATAACTATAACCTCCTTGGCATCCACATTCTTATCTGACCCTTTTGGTTTCCTTCCCTCCAATAGTTCCCCATCTGAAGAAGCCAAATAAATTCAGGGTGATAACTGTAAGGTTATAATGTTGCAAACATACATTTTAAAGTTCCATAACAGGCCAATTACTAATCATGGTATTGGAAATTTGTATTCAAAAATCTATTTTTTTACAAAACAAAATATTAAACTTTTAAATGAATGTTAAACCATCTAAAAATTGATGGGTAAATGGCTATTTAATACTATGTTTGAAAGACTGGTTACAAAATGTAATGGATATGTCAAGATAAGCAAGATGTGAACATAACTTGTCTACAGTTGAAATTTGTTGTATATAACCATGCTTTAAAATGTGGTCTTCAAATTAGCACACAAAATTATTCACATGAAATTGTAATATAAAAATAACGGAAATACATATAAATTTAATTTTATTTACAGTGTTCCGTCTGAGTAGTTTTGAATATTTAATGTTTTTCATGAAATTGGTTGAGAACTATTGTGTATGTGGTAAGTCTCAGTATGAGATCTTTATCACACTTCAGTAAGATCATATACAGTCTTTCACCATAAGGTTTTCAAGTACTTTTATTCCCAGTGAAGTATTACAATGCTTGTTTGTAATTATATCCATTTTTGACAGTACATTTGTGAACAAATATATCAAAGTAAATTTTATTACATTGAAAAATATTGTAACTATTTTAAACCACTGTTTTCAGCTACAGGCCTACATGAGGTGTCAGTTAATTGAACATTTAATAAAAATGTTTAATTTTTCATTTCTACACAGATCAAAACGGTTGTTTGTAAAAAAAAAAAAATCTTTTCTAATGATTTACTGATGAAACACTGAAATCACTATAAAGAAAGTTTAAATGTGATTGGATAGAACAGGGTTTAGTTTTTTCTCAAAATGGTATATATGATTTGAGCAGAGAAATTTTGTAGTCTGAATGAAAGTTTTAACTTGTATCTTCGAAAGCTACAGAAATTTTCTTGGTAAGAAGACATCGAGTAAGATTTAAATTTAGCTAGTATAGAAGGGTGACTGCAAGGCATTCTGATAATTCAAATCCTTGTCAAGTATTTTTGTTTGTGGTATTCAGATAATGTTGTACATAGATTGGCTAACTACAATCATGATTTTTTAAAATAAAAATAAAGTTATCAGTGATAATTCAATGTTTCCATTATTAGAGTTAGAACCACTGGGGATTACTGCAAACTAAACAAAATACAACCTTATATGACTTGGTGCTTTGTACAAATCTGAAATACATTCAGATTCTAAATAAATATCAGTGTCATTTTTAACATTTAATTGTTCTTTTCAAACTAAAAAAGTAAAGTACATTATTACTGAAGTACCATCACTAATAGTAAAGAATTTGTTTTACCCTACTAACATGGGTCAAAGGCCATGTAATCATATTTGTAGACTCGCGTTCAAAATTTTATTGAGCAACTAGTTTATGAATGTATGCAAATAGGTTTGGTATCAAACTGTAAATTATAATTCAAATTTTAGTATTATACATTAGTTAATTTCTTAATTTAAAGTAAATATAAAAAACCACCTAAATATATATTTTTGTGTGTTACGTAATATGTCGAATGCAGCATTGGTTCAAATTAGATGTGTGTGGTGTCCAAGTACAAAGTATGTAGTTTCTTATGAATAAGATACTTAAATTATCGATATTGAAAAGCTAGAATATAAAACAAGAATCTTCTATCTTTTAAATTTTCTAAGATATTAATATATTTATTGAATCAACCAAGGTGGTCCTGCCCACCTCTAACTATTTTGAAAATACTTGCTTATGTACACTTCCCCCAATGGTGTGTGTATAATCAACCAAAAGCTCAGAATTTCCACTAGTGGTTTTCTTAGCCTCTGTGAACTATTTATGCACAAAACTTTCCATTCTAGATTCCAAGCTGTAAGGTAAGGCATTAGTGAGCTCAAAAATCATATTTTTTTTACACCTAGATGTAGCTTAGTTACTAAGCTTGATAAATTGTAGTGTAATACTGTTGTATTGATATAGTAATTTATGATTTTTTGTTATTTCAAAATGCATATATAAAACCTAAAAAATCATTGTTTTCCATCCTCCAAGTGTGAAATCTGATAAGGCTTAGTAACTTGCAGCAAACAAATACAAAGTATGTAACTAGAAGAGAATTGTTTTCTATACTTCTTTATTTACTGTTCTGTGTCTTAAGAAAAATAACTGAAATTTAACAACTTGTTTGTAAATAATAATGTATATACCTGTATAATGTATTATAACCCAAAATGTGACTGTGTTTTACAAAATACTGGAAACATAGTGCATGGCTGAAAGGTAAATAACATAAAAATATATAGATGTATAATGTTACGAGATTTATGCTACTTAGAATAAACATTTGCGTTTTCATGTTATAATTTGTAGTCATTCTAGAATGAAAAAAGCATAATTTATATCTATTTCCTAATTCTTTATGGTGGTTACAAGGTCGGTCAATTCGATCAAACCCATACAGAGATACAATAAAAAAATAATGGATAGAATGTAAATTTTGTTCTAAAATGAAAACTTTGATAATCTGAAGGTTATAAACATTTCTCGTGTGAAATTTGAAAATGTTCTGATGCATAAAAGTATTTTAAATCTTAAAATCAAAATTCCTTTACGTTGGATGGCTAGTATTTGAAAAGAAAAAAATGCACGAGAAAAACATTACTTAAAAAATCTTATATTTTCTGTACAAAAGCCTTGTAATGTTTATTTATAATCTGCAAAATTTCATGAAGATTTGCTTACTGTATTAAAATGTATAACATTAAAACTATAACAAGCACAAAATTGTTACGAGGTTGGTCCCTGTGACTAAGCCCATAGTGAAAGTTAAAGCTTGTATCTAAGTGTTTAGGCATAGTTTCATGTTAGTACCAGTTTTATAGTAACATTAATAAGTACATATGCTGGATTTGGAGATCACAGGAAAGTGAAAAATTGTTCTCCGTAACTGTTAGGAGAGTGATAGGATACATTAGTGATGAGTAAAGTCTTGCTCAGAACAAATCTAAAATAGATGAACACATATGCTTCTAAACATTAAAGATGCATTATACTTTTAAACATATATAAAGAGTAGAAAAAGGATTTTTTTTTGATAGAATCAATCTATAAACTGTTTCAGTCATGTAGTTTTAGTAACTCACCATCAAAACTTGCAGTTTTTAAGTTAAGAAAAATTTGGGGTTTTATTTATTTTTAACAGAATGCAGACAAGTGTAATTTTTTGCTAATTGTTTTTTAATACCTTTTTACTGTTGTATTGACATGAGTCATCTGTTATCAGTAGCTTCTAATTTGTAATTCCATAATATGGAATTGTATTAGCTTGGAATAAAACTACACAAAACCAGTATAGGAACTGTCAGATGAAGTTTACAACCATGCTACTGCATACACACACATAAATAGGTGTTAAATTGTTTAGCATTTGAACTTTAAACAGTTGGAGAACATTTAGAAATTTTCTGCACCATTTAACCACAGTATGTCAAAACTTTGTATGGAGACAACTGAAATATTGTTATGCAAAAGATAAATTGAAATACATTAATTACAAACCAAAAAAATCTTGACAAATATTAAGAACTTGATATTGTTTACAGTTGTATAATTGTTGTGAGGCCTAACTACCAGATGTTTAAATTATAAGAAATCACAAATGGTTAAGTGTACACAGGCTGCTTAGGAAGAGAACAATTTTTACAATTATTTTTCCTCAATTCTGTTTTACAAAAGGATTTTTGATGTGTTGAATTATCTAATAAAAATTACATTTTTTTTTAATTGCAATTGCTTACATAAATTGAAATAAAATTTGAATTGTATGTTAATTTATGACTAAAAGCTGTAATTGTTAATTTTTAAGATTGTATAGCAAATGATGCAAGAGACTGTTTCTACTATGAACTATCTACTACGAAAACAGCATATAATGCTATTATATTATAATCCTACAAGAGATTGAGAATGATATTGGTTGATTTGTCTAACATGGGAAATGTGAAACTTGTATGCACTATAACTTTGAAATTACTTTGTGTACCTTCACAAAATGACTTACTTAACATTACAAATCTGTTGTATACAGAACTTGGAAAGATTCTGAAGAAAAGAATCCAGAGTTCAAACATGTCACGTAACACAGAATTTTACATTAGCATATCCATTGTTTTAAGGAGATCAATGAATTTCACACCCTAACTTGAAATAAGAACTTTTCAAAGTCAAGAGTGTGATTAACAACTGATTGCATGAATTCATTAACTAAGTGATTTTAGTTTTCGAGGTATCTAGTTTATACAGAATCAGTTATTATATTTCATACAAATGTTTTGTTCAATGTTCATTAGTTTTTGATTTTGAAAAGTAAGTTCAGTAAGATGCGTGTTTGTGTGATTTGGTTCTTTCTGAATTAACTCAAAATATCTCATCAGACATTTCACATTTACTAATAAAAATGGAATGATTACTTGTTTATTTGTATTTCTCAGGCTCTGAAGAAAGAACTGGAAAAGAAAAAGTTGAAAGAGGAAGAAGAGGAGGAGATGGAATCAGAAGACTCTGATGATGAAATGGATGAAGAGGACTCTGACTTTGATTCAGATGTTGGTATGTTAAAATAAAGAAGTAATAAATGTACAAGTTGTTGGCTAACTTCAATGGTCACTATTGTAACTGTGTGAAATAAGAATGTATTAAAATAACCATCCCAATCTACTACAATACTTACACACAATTGAAATTAGCTGTACATTTTTATGGTTATGAAAATCCAAGTTGTAAGTACTTTATTCAGAAATTATTTGAATTCAGTGGAGTTTAAGTTGAAAAATATTTGTAAAAACTTAATTTCATATCTTTTTCATAATTTTCCAGATGATGAGGAAGAGGAGGATGAAGAAGATGAGGAAGGTGAAAGTTTTGAAGGTACTTTTTTTATATATATGTAACCATCTGTATGGAACCGTTAAAAAAATCTTTTATTTTCATCATATGTTTTTCCACCAAACACATTGCCGTGAAATTTGTATAGTGTAGTCATGATATCATAATTATTCAATACAGATTCATGAACATTTAAGATTTTGTAGCACTTTATTTTTAATGTGGAAGAATAATTCAGATAATTATCAAAACTTGCATGCTAAAATCTGTCATCACTTCAAGGTAATGGGTTTCTTCATGGACATTTTATTTATGAGTATATGAAATCATATTTATTATTGGTCATATTTAAACTACAGTTTGTTCTATTTTCAGAGAGGGTACCTTTAAGCAAAACCTATATTTTTGCTATGGTTGACTCGGATCTTGAACAGTCTTACAGCTACTGTTTTAATGGTGATTTATGAAATACACATTGAAATTCAAATGATAAAAGATCCATGCAAGTAATTCTTAAAGATAAAGATAACTTTTTAGGGTTATGTAATTTGCTAAACAATAAAACTAATGTACTTGTTGCAGTTTTCTGCTCTGCATTTTAAATTACATCATATCCAAATGTATTCAGCATCCAGTCATTAATTTAAAGATTTAAAATTAAGTTTTCACAGCAAACAACAACAAGAGCATTTAATATTTATGTAGTATAATTACAAGTTAAAAAGTAATTTTTTTAGTGATAAATAATATAGATTTAAAGAAGAGAACATTGATTGCTCCAATTGTATATTTCACCAGACATGCACTCTGGCTTAATTCTTGTTTCTGCTTGAGTGAGGGAGTATTTAGTAGATGAAAGTTACTTGTTTTGTTTTATATAACCTGGCTTCTCACTGTGGATAGATCTTTTGCACTTCAATAAATTTAGCAACACGTCATCTGTATAAAATTGTATCAAATAACTTCCTTCATATTTCTAACAATTTATAGTTCTTACTGCATGTGTTAAAAATGTAAATAATCACCAGCTAAATCTTTAGCAATGCTAGCAGTTTATTTTTGACACGCTGTGAAAGATATATTTATTGTAATTCCAGTTATAACACTTTAATTATTACTGAAATTTAATTGAAACAGTTCTAAGGCCATTTCGATTAAATGCAAAAATATTATTAGAAATTAAGTTTTAAATGAATTTTCAATTAAAACTTTAAAAAGTTACTTTCATTAAAAGGCATTAATTGATTCACTTTTGATGTATAACATAAATTTGTTACTTGTATAGTTTGCTGTATCAAATAAAACTAATTTCCTGCCACCATCAGCTATGTTGTGACTGTTAATATATTTTTTATAGCAAAAGCTAGTACATTTCAAGTATCATTTAAACGTATTGCTTTACAGCCACTTAAAAGTAAGACAAAGCAATTTATTACCACAGTGTAGAAACTTTGTGTGACCAATGTATCAAGTTACTGGTACACTCAGTCAAATTACAATATACTTTGCTTGTAAAGTGCACATGCTATTGAGTATTTAAACAAATAGTTTTCCTTTGTTTCCTTATCTAAAGTAATGAGTTTCTAATGTTTACATTTTATTTACTTTTATAGCAAAATTTTGCTTGTGATTCTTGAAATATTTTACAGTTAATGCTACTTTTTGATAAGGTTGATGTTAGTAGTTTACTGAATTTTTATTTCAAATATGCAATTTGGAACACAAAATAACTTTCACAAGGAATGCAATGTCCTATAACTAATATAGTTTAACTGACTTTCTAATTTAGCTATAAGTTTGTAAAATTACTTCAGCTTATTCAGGAGATCACAGCAATAACAGATTATGAAATTCACACAGAATGATTCTAAAACTTGTCAGGATGACCAGAATTACTTCAGCTTATTCAGGTGATCACAGCAATAACAGATTATGAAATTCACACAGAATTATTCTAAAACTGTTGTCAGAATGGCTAAAATTACTTCAGCTTATTCAGGTGATCACAGCAATAACAGATTATGAAATTCACACAGAATTATTCTAAAACTGTTGTCAGGATGACCAGAATTACTTCAGCTTATTCAGTTGATCACAGCAATAACAGATTATGAAATTCACACAGAATGATTCTAAAACTGTTGTCAGAATGGCTAAAATTACTTCAGCTTATTCAGGTGATCACAGCAATAACAGATTATGAAATTCACACAGAATGATTCTAAAACTGTTTTCAGAATGACCTAGAATTATAGGGAATTCAGTAAATTAAAATCTTTATATTGGTTTCAAATAATCCAGTAGCAAATGTCAAAATTATTGACTTTTTTTGAAAGACACGATGTGATGGAAGAGCATAACATATAGCTTAAACTTTATGGATTATATCTCGGTAAAGAAGATTGGAGGCTATATATCTATACTGTCTTAGCAATGTCTGTGCTACAGTTCTGTAATTTGTGTTAAATTTAGCAGTTTGGAGCAAAGAAATGTCACATGATATAGAAGTGAACATTGAGAATTTATTTAAATATTTCTTTTTAGAAATTAGGAAATTGAAACTTAAATAATTACTTTTTGATGCCAAGATTATTGGCATGCATTGATAATACAGTAGTTTAATTACATTTTGAATGTAGCTCTGTAAAGAAAAGCAAAAGAAAAAATATGAGCACTTTGACCAACCTGCATATATAGGTTAAGGTAACTGATGGCCATCAAGTCAACTTATAGCATGTTAGTACAATTCTGGAAAAAGTTAAGAATAGAACCTGTAAATTTAAGGATTTTTAGCTTCAATGCTAAATTTTGAAATCATATTCAGTTAGCTCTTGTGATCACGACATGGTGTCAATATGATTTAAATCATTGTTACTAACTAAACTTGAAGTGTATTATACTTTTACTGAAACAGAACACTTCTATCATACTATTACCTGGCATTTTGATGTGGTTAATCAACAGAAGAATCAACACTTCTATCATACTATTATCTGGCATTTTGATGTGGTTAATCAACAGAAGAATCCTCTTACTTTCTTCCAAATTCTGTTTTGTAAGATGTGAAAATTTTTAAGCTCAGTTTTTAGATACTGAATTTAGTATTTTGTAAGTACATAGTTTTCAATGTCTTTCTAATTTCTTAAATTTTTCAGAAGATGAAAGTGAAGATGAAAAATCAGCCAAAGGTAAAAAGGCCCTAGCAACAAAATCACCAGGAAAAGCTATGACACCTGTTCAGAAAAAACAAGAAAAGCTACTGACCCCAGCTCAGAAGAAAAAAGCAGAGACTCCTAAAGGAAAAGCTCAAACACCTGTTGCAAAAAAAGGAATGAAAATCAGAGAAATGGAGGGTAAATATTCAAATTCTTGGAAAGGTGCAAGTTTATAAAGAATATAAATAAAACAAATCCAATATTTTAAACATTTAACAGAAATAGTGCTTGCATTTTATTGGAATATTACCTGAAGTGGTTCTTCTGGTGAAGCAATTATCCATTACAGTGAAGCATAATCTTAATATTTTTTCTGACATAAAGTGGTGGTCAGTCATTTTGTCTGATTGGTAGTCTTGGTGATTTCTGAAATTGGTAGGCTGTGGTTACCATTTGTCACCTGGGTATATAAAGTGTAAAAGAAAGTGACTGTCAATATAAGTTCATAATATTAAATAGCTATAGTATCTGATAGAACAAATTTAGTTAATGTGTTATAGGATGTTAGATGTAAACAGTATTTAATATAAGTTTTGTTTTTCCGTACTAAACAGAACAGGAGGATGACGACGACGATGAAGATGATGAAAGTTTTGAAGGTAAATGTTTAAAATGTTCTTTGAATATTTTATGAATGTAAAAATAGAATTCAACAAAAATGTTTATATTCACTTTTTGTTGATTGTGTAGAAGTATGTAGTAAGTTACCGTATTTTTCTGTGTATAAGACGCACTTTTTTACCCCAAAATTTGTCAAAATCTGCTTTCGGTCTATAAAAGTGCATCTATACACCGAAAGCAGATTTTAACGTCAAATTTTGGGGTAAAAAAGTGCGTCTCATACACTGAAGGTGTGTATAATATATATGTATGTATGTGTGTGTGTGTAAGTATATTTAAATAGGCATGCATAGTTTAGTTCAATTGAATGTGTTATTTATAACAATAGTAGTTTTTTTTCTTTTAGAAATAAATATTTATAATGCTCCCTAACCCTAAATAATTAAAAAAAAATTACAGTGAAAGCAATGAAGATTTTGTAGCTTTTGAACCAAACTAAATAAGAGTAAACCTTTTTTTGATTTATGGTATTTTCTTATTTTGATGTTTTGTTCTTTTGTGTTTAGAACAATATATACTAATTTTTAAAGTATCAAATTGAATTTTTGTTTAATAAAAATCTTTCAAATGCGACTGTAGCTTTTTTTCCCCAAAACTTTGTCTTCAAAATAAGGGTATGTCTTATATTCCAAAAAATACAGTAGTTTTCTTTTTTTAACTGTTCAGGTTTTATGGTTTATTCATTAAAGTACACTTTTGGGCACTGGCTCATTTGACATCATCTAACAATTTTGTAGCTTTGTTTTGGATAAGGATAGCACTTTATGCACAGTACTGGACATTTGATATTTTTTTTTTATTAAGTTAAACTGTTCCCAATAAATATATTGACTTGCCCAAATATTTAGAAGATGATGAGGAGGAAGAAAGTGGTGAAGAGAAGAAGCCAGTTAAAGGTAAAAAACCTGAGACACCAGCTCAAAAGAAAAATCAAGGAAAACAAGAGATGTCAGCTCAAAAGAAAATTCAGGGGAAAGCTGATACACCATCTCAAAAGAACAAAAAAATAGAAACCCCTAAAGGAATTAAGAGGAAAGGACAAGATGAAGTTAAAGAGCTAAATGCTAAAAAGGCAAAAGGTTTAGGTATGTGATTTTGGTAGTGATTAATTCATAAAATATACAGGATAATTGTATTAAAATAACAAATGGATTTCATAGACAATCCATTTGTTATTTCCTATCATCATCAGTTTTATTAAATAATTCTTTTTTAGGTGATATTACAAAGATTTTAGGGAAAATATTTGTTTTTGATATTTGGGAAATTTTTAATTGCAGTAAACATAATTGAATAATATAACACTTAACTTCCACATCATCAATATCAAAATTTAATGACATGTTACAAAATAATCATGATCCCAACATTTTTAACCCAATGACTAAGGGAAACCCTATACTGCACATGTCAAGATTTTACTTTGTTACATTCAAAACCTAATTAAGCAATCTTATTAGCAATGTATACCAATGAAATTAGCTTTAAAATTTACATCAAAGTTTTATATTGTGTTTGTTTTAATTCCTTTATTTCAAAAGAAACCTTAAAGAAAAATTCGTAAACTTCAGTTTGATGCACAACTTCACAAATTTTTAACTTCGTAATTTCAAAAAGTTAACTATACTAAACCTTTCATATATGTATATATATAGGAAGAATCTATTGCAACCAATAATAACGCAATTTAAAATACTATCTCTCAACAATTGGTTAAAAATTAGTGCTGAGAGTTCTGTAGAGAACTTGTCAAATACTCTTAGCTTTGTTGCTGCTTGTGTCCTTGCTAGCACTTAGTGTTGTTTCTATCCTATAAATTTGTTAGTTAAATAGACAATTAAATTTTATTTAGGTTTTACTTTTATATTTTTTGGTTAATTGTGTGTTATTTATGATTTAAAATGCCTATTAGAAAGTTTTTATTTTTTTTAAATATAAGCCAAATTGCCTTGGTTTATCAGGCTTAGTGTAGTATGCAAATGTCCCAACGTTCTGACAAAGGCCAAAGTGTCATTACCCAGGACACCCTGAGAACGCCTGTTGACACGTGTCAAATGCTAAAGGATAGGAAAGGGAAATAAAACATCAAAAATAAACTATGTGAAAAAGTAAAAACTTGGAATTAAAAATATAACCAAAAGATTTTCAAGATTATTTGACAAAAAAATTAGAAGATATGTACTTTTTTTTCAATTTTAAACAATTTGCTGCATAATATGTTAATGATAATAGTTGAACTATTCAGAGCCTAAGTACAAACAACTAAAATACAAAAATAACATTTTAGTTACTTCTACTATAATAAATATACATAAATAACCTGAAATTTAGTACTTGTGTATGAGCTCCTGTACTTTTTGGTTTCAGTGTCCCAATGAAGCTTAGCCTACCTTTTGGTAGGGATGTTCATAGCACATTTTTATTTGTTTCAAATATGCTGCTTAGGATGCAAACAAATATAATGGCTTAAAACAACTAGTTTTCTAATTCATCTATAAATGGGATATAGAAATGTTAGTTGATCAGTGTGATCTTGACAATAGCAAACAGTGAAACTAGGCTGAATAATTCACAGATAGTAGTATCGTATGGAAACAAGTCTTAAGTATGTTAATGGAAGTGAGATTGTTAGTTGATCAGTGTGATCTTGACAATAGCAAACAATGAAACTAGGCTGAATAATTCACAGATAATAATATATGGAAACAAGTCTTAAGTTTGTTAATGGAAGTGAGATGGAAATGGTATTTAACATAAGTATTGTTTCTTCATATTAAACAGAAGATGAGGAGGAGGATGATGATGATGACGATGAAGATGATGACAGTTTTGAAGGTAAATATTAAAATGGTTCTTTTAATATTTTATGTATGTAAATTTATAATTCAAAAAAAGGTATTTTTTTTAATTGTGTAAGAGTATGTGGTAAGATAGTTTGTTTTTTTTAAACTGATCAGTTTATATGGTTTAATTGTTAATACACCTTTTGAGCACTGTTGTATTTTGACTACATATATTTTAAATCATCTAACAGTGTTTCTAGCTTTGTTTTGGATAAATAAGGGCATTCTGCACCTAGTACTGGACATATAGAAACTCTTTGAAAGTTTGTGACTTTAGAAGTTCTCTAACAGATTCCAGTATATCAGAATAAAAGTATTTCTACAGTAGTTGACTCCTTCTTTTGTGTTGTAAGGCTTCATAACGAAAAGGTTCATATCAGTTGTCTTTTGAAACAATGATTATTTTTCATAAAGTGGAAAACAATACTCACATAAATATATTGATTTGCTTTAAGATTTAGAAGATGAAGAGGAGGAAGAAAGTGAGGAAGAGAAGAAGCCAGTTAAAGGTAAAAAACCTGCGACACCAGCTCAAAAGAAAATTCAGGGGAAAGCTGATACGCCATTTCAAAAGAAGAATGAGAAAACAGAAACCCCTAAAGGAGTTAAGAGGAAAGGACAGGATCTTGAAGATGTAGATGCTAAAAAAGCAAAGGGTTTAGGTATGTGATTCTGGTAGTGATTAACTCATAAAATATGTAGGATAATTGTATTAAAAAGTAAAAAAGGCTTAGTTTGTGTATATGTATGTACAGGAGACAAAAAAAAACAATTGGTATTTAATGTTTAAACGCTGATTTTATGTAGTGATGTTTTGTAAAATTGTTTCAACTGTTGTGGTTTTGTTTTTATTATAAATTTTTATTAAATCATAATTATTTTTTACATTTGGGAAATTTTTTATTATGGCAAATGTAATTAAATAATTTAACACTTCTCAAGCCAAGTTATCTGTTAAGTTGGTGTCTTGGAAATGTGGTGTGAAATTTATACAATCAGTTCAGTATTTCTTATGTATTGCCTAATCTGGAACATAAAATCTGCTTAATACTTAAAATGTTGTTACAGCTAAAAAATTGAATGAAGCAGCATGAGTAAAGTTGAAAATTAACATTATTGAAAAACTGTAACTATTCCTTATTTATTGTGTGAAGACAAGTAGAGTAATTTTTATCATTGTATCATATTTTCAGAAGATGAAGCTGTCAAGATGTCAGAGGAAAGAGTTAGTAAGTAATCAGGATGTTTTTGTTTCATTGTGTACTTTCAGCATTGCATTGACATTTGCTGATAGTTTTGGTTAACACTGAATTGTGGGACAGAATTTGTAATATTAAGGTTCAAGTTTTTCTCTGTTGTGTATTATTCTCTGTACACTACTTAGTTGATTTTGTGAACAGCATTGTTACTTTGCACAAACTGCCATTTCTAGTAATTTCCACATTACATTTACATAACCTCCTAATTGAATTGCCATTTGTTTTCAGTAAAAGTTTTTACTTTGTATAACCGCTCATTCTCCATACCGTAACACTGACTGTAAGAAACTAATCTGCAGTAGTAGTTGAAAAATGGAAGTGCACATTTATTTTGAAATACTCTCAAATTATAACCGTTATAATTTATTATTACCATACATTGCCTCAGACTCTTAACTAGTAAAATCAAGTAATAAATTGTCCAGCAAGATTTTAATACTAGTTAAGATTAAATGAAGTATTAAGTTACATCACAGATGCAATTTCCTTGCATACATTGCAGAGAAAATTTAGTTTTTACATTTGAGTTACTTGTATAATATAGACATGAATAACAAAAAGTTTAATACTTACATGTCGGCTCTTTTACTTTTTCTCTCAATGTCCCAATAAACCATAACCATACTTTTTGGTAGGGATGTTGGTTGTACATTTTCTTGGTTCAAATATGCAGATTAGAACACAGTATTATTACACACAAGTAATTATATCCTAAAACTACTATATGGTAACTGGCTTTTTGATTGAGTTATAAGTGGTTTAATGTTTTTACAGTTGATCAGTATGATCTTGGCAGTAGCAAACAATGAAAATAAGGCCAGGTAATTTATGAACTGTCATGAGAATGATCTAACCCTAGAGAAAATTCAATAAATTAAAAGATTTTTCTGTTGATATTTTGTGAAAGGACATGATAGGAGGGTGTGGCTTGTGGGTTTGACTTTTTTTATCATTATCTTGGTATTGACTTTTTTATTATTATCTTGGTAAAGCAAGAAGACTGCGGGTGTTTAGTTTTAGCACCATCTATATTGTAAGTGTATAATGCCAAACTTGGAAGATCACACAGGGATAGAAAGAGAATTTAGAATGGGCAGCTTCGAACAAAAGTGTCACATGATGCAAAGCAGTGAAGATTGAGATTTTAAATACATCATTTTGGTATTACAAAGTTAAAACTTGTATAGTGTTAAAACATGAATTATGAACTGCATTTCTGTGTTAAGTTTCTTCACGTACATTGATATTAGAGTTTAATTAATTTTGAATGTAACTATGTAAAAAAGGTTGAGAACCTACATCCATAAATGCAGGAAGTGAACAGCATATAAAACAACTAGTAATTCAATTAGGATTCCTATTGATAGTATATTCATCCTCTCATATATGCCAGTGTTTTGAATTATGCATACATATCTAGTAGTAATAAGTAAGTGATAAAATCTGTTGTAACAATTTTAGACAATCTGTTGCTGTTTCTTTCATGGCTTAAAAATATGTAGATGCTACTATTGTTTTGAAAGCTATCAACTATTATCAGAGATGAGTGAAACATTATATTAATAAATTTAACCAAGGTTGACAACAAATAGATGTTCAACTTCCTATTAAGACAGCAGTTAGGAACTCATCACCTAACAATTATTCTCAAAATTTAACTGTTTTAGTATTAGGTTTTGGGTTATAAAAATAACGATTTTAATTACGTTCACAAATAAGTTCATTAATAATAAAAAAATTAAATCAATCAAGATCACCCGAAAAGTTGATTTAGGTATACCATGGTTTATTTTTCAAATATCTATGGGGATGACATTCTCTTCTCAATTCTACTCATTCACAACTTATTTTACATTTATCTAACAGTTATAGATGCACTATCATCTTTAGTGATCAGACTCAGAATCACGACAAACATTAACATATAAGTTTGACATAGTAAAGAGTAGAGAGCAAAGAAATGACAGTTCAGCCTATTTTGATTGAGCAAGTACATTTGTTTGCCAATTCTTCTAAAACCAACAAAAAAATAAAACAGAGTGTATTAATCTATTAATTTATTTCAAGCTGAACTCAAATTTTTTTCTGATATGCAATGGCTTTAAAACTTGTAGCAAAGCAAGCTCTGCTGTATTACTCTGCTGGCAGAGCAAGTGGTGACAACAAGTACACAGTTCTACATTGTTGATGCTAGTTGTGCTGACAGCTAGGTTAATGCACATTTGTTCTTGTAGCAATTTGCAATGTTTGTTCATTTCTCTGAACCAAAGTAAAGGATCTGATGTTTTTGTAAATATCCTTTATTTCACATGAAGTATTTATAATCAACAAAATTCTCAAAACAGCATAAAAATTGCTAATCTCTCATGTAAATTTGTTATCAATAATATTTTATAGGAAATTGACCTGTTTTGAATGTGTTTATTTTTACGAAATGCTTTTTTTAAGTCCAATATCTAAATCATTTGCAGAAGAAAGAAATTCTAGGACTCTGTTTGTTGGACAGTTACCAGCCGATACAACATTAGATGAAGTAAAAGCCCTTTCCCCAGACATCACAGTTTGCAGAATTCCCATGAGAAATGGCAAAAAGAGCAGTGTGTATGTATTTTTTGTCTAAGTTTGAAAAGGTTTTTCAGTGAATACTAGCGTTCATTCTGTATATTTCTTCAAAAACTGTTAGTTTCTGCTCCTCTGTCAGTGTTTATAATCTAGCCTAAGAATCTCATTAACTAAACAAATAATTTAGAGCTTTTTTATTTTGTTATTTTTAATTATTTTGTTTAAAACTCCCAAGTTTTATTGAACTAAAGTAGTCACCAGATATGTTATTGTATGAATTATAGAATGATAGTTTTCATATTAATGTATATTATTTTAGGATATCAGTCTAATTTTGTAATAATACTTCTGTCATGTGGTTTTAACTTGTGTAGTTTTTGGAATGTTTTGTTTGAAGAAGTGGTCTTTCAGCCATTTGATTTTGTTATTTTTGTGTAATCTTTAGGTATGCATTTGTAGAGTTCAACAGTGAGAAAAAGGCAGAAGAAAATTATGAGAAACTGCAAAAGAAAACTGTAGGTGGGAAGCAAATTGTAATTGACTACACTGGTGAGAAAAGTGCAAACTACAAGAAATCACCTGAGGTTAATCGGGCCGTAGACAAGAAAGTTTTGTTCGTTGGTAGTGTAACTTGTGATATCTCATTAGAAGATCTTGCTAAAGTTTTTCCAAATTCCTCCCAGATTGATTTTGTCAATCCTCCTGGCTGCTCTTCTGGCAGGTAAATATTATTGTAGGTGTTATTAACAATTGTTTGTGGGTTCCTGACTATTATAGAACTAATTAAAGATGCATTAGTAAATTCAGTATATTGGTGTTTTGAGTATTTGTTATGCAAGTCACCACTGAATTAGTAATGTTGCTTCTTCAGAGTTTAAGAACATGCCCTAATCATTTATGTGGCTTAACAATGCACCTATATAAGGCAGCAAAAGGTCAAAGACAAAATACCGAATACTCAACTGCACAATAGTAAGGATAACAAAGATAATTTACAAGGGAGAAATGAAGTTGTTATATACTCAGTTTTCTTAAATGTTCTCTCAAGGGGTATTTAACTATATGATTGACCTCGTAGCCACCAATAATTCTAAATTTTCCTTCTGGAATGACTGCAAAATATAATAGAAAACCACAACTATTTATCTGAAGTAGCTTAAAGCTTGTAAGAATATATATATAAATTTTATTGTTTTACTGCCATTTGAACGTGTCTAGCTAATATTAAAATGCTAATGGTAAATCATGTGGGGTATGTGTAGGTTATATTATCAAATTATATAATGCACAGACTATTCGTGAGGGTACCGCATAAAAAAACTTTAGTATTATTATTTATTTTACTTTATCTATATTATAAAGATTTAAACTTTTACACTTTACTCAATTTTACAATAATAAATAATGAATACAGATGAAAAACAAGAAATTAAGTACTTACCTATTTTTTTTTGCTGTTGACTGTTAATGAAACTTAACTACTTTTAAACTAATGGTATTACTACATTAAATAATAACATTCACAAAGGAAACGATATGCCAAACTATCACAATTTCCCTAACTTTCTACCTGTGCGATAAAAGCCGTTAAATATTCAGCTAAGTTCAATGTGTTTCCTGTGTGAATAAAGTTTGAACTGCAAGGAAAAAGATAATTCTCTGTATACAAAAACAATGTGATATGTCATTTTATATAGAAAAAGTTGACTTTCTATTGGTTACAAATAATGTAGTCTTAAATGTCAGAGAGAACCATTGGAAAGTTCTGAAAGAGAGGAAGTGACAGGTGAGCATCTGATTTGCTATTTTCTTGCTCTGTAACTAAAGAAGATTGAAGGCTATGTAAACTGTGCTTTACCTGAGTGATAACATTATAGTAAGTAATTTATGTTAAAGTTCATACTTCTGGGAAGCAAGTGGTAAAATTAGAGCAGATGGAAGACACGGGTAAAAAATGTTACAGTTCTCATACTCGGGGAGATTGAGAATTTAAAATATTTCCTTATAAACTTCAGAATTTAAAACTTAGATTTATTATCTTCTTTCTGATGCTGAGTTTATTTCACATACATTGATAATAGTTTAATTAAATTTTAAATGTAACTGTAAGAGATTGTAAGATGTACATTTGACCTACCCGAGGTGAATGGGTTAATCGTGTGGCTTTATTTTCATACAATTTAATGTCATTGATGAAACCTGTTACAAGTTGATGATGGACAACTGTGGGCAAACTGTATGTTATTCAGTTCATTATGGTACAAAGTTCAAAGGAAATTCCTTGTGCTTGGTATAGTTATTTCCATCACCCATAGCATATCACATCAATGACACCAGAATACTTTAAACATGATCAGTAAGTGGCAATAACAGAATTTTTAGAAAGCAAGTGGTCACTTGTTAATTCTTTCACTGAATATTAAAATGTTTTATTATCACTGGTGTTTATATGTTGAACATACATAACTATTACTTCAGGAAACATGAGCATAAGATCTATTGTAAGAATCTGATTGTGTACCAACTACTAAACTTTGATATCTTAATTATTTTCAAACAAAATAAAACCATGAAGATTTTTAAGTTAAAACTACTCGTTTTCACCTGTCTACTACATGTACGAAAATTATTTCATACTGATTTGGGGGGGGTGGGTCGTTTATAAACATGATAATTGGACCAATACAAATCAATACAAGAAATCAAGTAGTCACTTTTAATTAATTATATCTTAAAAACGGCAGCAGATATTTTCATGATTATTGGAAAAGCTGTTCATTTCATCCTCTTGCATATTGTCCTACCTTAGCACTTGCTGAGGGTAAGCAATGTGTAGTGTATATTATAGATAAATTTTTCATTGAGCACAAAAGTGCACTTTAACACCGATAAAAAAAAAATAATAAAAAAAACACAAATGGAAATAACGTGCAGTGTAAATTGTATATAGTTTTTTGTTGAATATTAACATGCTCTTTTCCACTTGCAGAAGGTAAACGTATAGTATACATTGAAAATAGTTTTTGATAGACAATAGTTTTTTTGTTGTATTTTTTTTTAGTTTATTAAATACTACCTTTGGTACCCTTGAAATCTCACTGGGACTCTTGGGAAGAATATAGTTGAGAGTCTGGGACCCTAGTGAAAACACTGATGTAATCTAGATTACATTCTCAAAGGAAATGTACATTTCACAGCCAGTCTTTGCAAATTAATTAGCTAAATACATTATAATTTCATGATTTTTTGAAAATGTGATAAAATTAAGAACAGTAACCATGTGATGTATCTTGGCTTTATGTATGAAACGTTTATTTACTTGTCTTTAAGCTAAATACTTTTACTCTTGAGATATGATAAACCAAGTGCTTCAATGTGCTTAAGATTATGAATGAGCAGTAAAGCAGCAGCAGCTTCAAATTAGTTGCAAGAGGGTGACCTAAAGCATTGTACTCTTAATAGACGTAGGTAAAAATTAGGTTACTTTCAAGAAAACGTGACTGAAATAATGTTTTTAATTAGGAATGTATATGTGAAGTTCAATACTGAAGAAGAAGCTGCAGAAGCGTTTTCAAAAACTGGGAAGTTAAAGATTAAAGGCAATTCCTTGACGGTACTTTTTGCCCATGCCAGGATAAGATCAAAGAATATGAAGACATTTAGAAAGAAAGACTGTAAGTATTCTTTCATACCAAATTTGATTTTAAGCAGATACATATTTTAAAGTAAGATTACACAACAGATTTTGGTGTAGGCTTGTAATTAAGAGGCTGGTTAGAATCAGTTTCTGTCATTCAAGCATTTGGTTTTTCAATATCCTTATGGGCTTTAAGTGAAAGGAAATTTTTTTATATAATAAATGTGTGTGTGTAAACTACTAAAATTCCTTCATATGCTAGTTTCACAATAAAATGTTTGTCATTTTTTATTTTGTCTCTAGTATATTTTACTGTTGTGTATCAGATTAATGAACTGGTATAGCAACATCTTTCTTTTTAGTAGCTAATTATTTTTTAGTGATGGTGGGTATTTTTCATACTTATATTCTAGGCACAGTTAAAAGACCCCCCCCCCCCTTGTGTGTGTGAATAATTTGACCATTACTGCATTGTGTTGTTTTTCTTAAATTGAAATAAGTTCTCTAACAAATGTTGTACTTAGTGAAACTAAACCTAGTTGTTGCTAGTAAGTGGTATATGTATATATGTGTCATACTCTTAAAATAGTGAACAAGGATAAGACTTAAAAGAACAAGATCCATATTCCTTGCTGAAAAGACTTGCAGAACTTGCAAATCATTAAAAAAATACTGTTTCCAGGAGATATATTTGTATTTCCTTTTAGAAAAGTCCTTTGGGGGAAAGTTTTATTGATGTAGAATGATAAAATTTGGAGTACAAACACAATAAAATTCTTTTGAAAAAGTACTTACCTAATTCATAAGTTTAACTTAGACCTAAACTGGTTCGGGTGAAAATGTGTCTGGTTATGGCACAATACCAGTCAACAGCACATGGCATTTTTTCTAGAATCTTAATACCCATTCAACATGACTAAGAGATAGATACCCCCTGGCACAATACCAGTCAACAGCACATGGCATTTCTTCTAGAATCTGAATACCCATTTAACATGACTAAGAGGTAGATACCTCTCACTCTCCAAGGAGCTACAAATTATCAGCTCAACAGCCAGACCACAGTTAATTATGTAATTGTAAAGTACAGTATTTCATCTTCTGTGTAATTTCCAAAATGAAATTAGATTACATAATGTTTAAATCAGTGGTGATTTTGTGTAAAGGAAGAATTTTCTTAGTGTAGTTTTTGAAGCATGGACAAGTTTCTCATGTCAATATCATTTAATTAGGATATAAAGTTCAGCAATGTAAACACATGTTTAAGAATACTTGCTTTTATATATTGTCTGTGAAAAAGTACAACTGCTGTTATTAAACATCATTAGCATCCCAAAATCACCTGTGATTATAAAATGTTAATGACCAGTCAAGTGATCTACTGTCCAAGTAGTTACTATTGGAGTCTGCTTCCACAGGTGCTGATATGGTACTCCAGAATTTGCAATCAAACCAAGGTTTGTGATCATTTGAACAAACATGACGTATTGATGTGACTAGACATGATGCAAGTCACACACTGATGTGACAGTTAAAATTATTGGACCCTAGAGATACTTCTATTTCATCAATGTAATGTAGGAGTGAATCACTTGCTCCTATACATGTTTGATCACATTCAAATTCATTGAGTGTGTTAGCCATTTCATTTTGCTTGCTACTGTAATTTTAATTAATGAACCAATTAAGCACATCATTCAATAAGTTCTTGACCACCTGTATATGGCAACACCAGTGGTTTTAGGACTGCATCCCAGTATTTTATGGCATTCTTAATAAAAGTCAGCATAGGTAGAAAATTTGTAACTGGCTACTCACTGTGAAAAATATCCTGTTTGGGTAATGATAAAACTTCAATTAAATTGATTCACAAGTGATAAACATACTTAACTGATGTGTATAAGTACAGATTTTCTTTCTTCAGGACTTTACACTTGTGTATCATGGCTTAAAACTGAAAACAATGAAGTAATAATAAAACACCTAATATTGGTTAAATGAGTAAATGTTAAACTTGCACAATGTTGCAGTATCCTTTGCATCATTCACTGACCATATTGTCCTGTTGTTTTATAAATGAGTAAATGTTAAACTTGCACAATGTTGCAGTATCCGTTGCATCATTCACTGACCATATTGTGCTGTTGTTTTTTAAATTAGTGTTAGCAATACAGTTAAAGAACCCGACCGTCTTGACAAAACAAAGTATGACTGAAATCTTTTACCCTGGTGGCTTTATGTGGTTCAAGGAGTCCAGAACATTAGTCTGATATTAAGCAGAGTTTGTCTTGACCTTTAAATCTGCACACCCAACTTAACTTGGCCATAGCACAGTAACCAGCAGTTATCTTGAATCCCTTTGAAAAAGTTTGACAACTTGCTAGTTACTAGTTTTGGAAATTTTCACCCACTACCCAATAGAAAATAGCAAGTCTTGTTACAGTTATCGAGGTACGTGTAATCTCCATCAAGTGTTATTTCGTACTGCCATTTTTCTCCAGCTGGTTATCATTTGTACAGTTTTCTATTGTTGGTCTTCTTTTTCTGGCCCACGTCATGGAAGCAGCTTATGTACATGTGATTTTCTAGGTGAAGATATTACTTGATTTTGTTGCATACTGTTGCCCGAGACACATGGATGCCTTTTGTCTCTGACCTTTGTGTTTGTGGATTCTAAGTTATTATAAGCTGCCACACTTTGCTCACAACAATTGGGATATGACTTTTTATGGTTCTGGTGTCACAAGATCCACATTCCATGGTTTCCCCATATCATTAAGTATAAAGGATATCCCTGTCTTGAAATTTCCAAATCCATGAGTTGAAAATGTCTTTATGATCCGAGTATATAAAGTATTTGCATTGGAAAAAGCTGTTACACACGTTATTAAAAAGCAGTCAGTTTTTGGTGGCATAACACTACCTACTTAATGCTAAACAATGTTAAAATGTAGTTCTGACACCTGTCGTTTCACCTTATCTTTACGTTGTTTGACATGTGACTTGCTGATTTTAATATCAGGTATTCAACTGTATAGTACAAACTATCAAGGTATTAGTGAAAATAAGAGGCATGAAAGTAAACTAAACCTATACATTTACTGACTTGGATTGTCTTATTTACAGCTGTTTTGGGATTATTACAGAAAATTTGTTTCTGCATTGTATGAGTTAATATTTCTTCCATTTTACAGTTGGCAAAAGAATGGGTCAGAGGAGACAGAAATTCCAATTTAAGAAGAAAGAAGAGAGTGACAATGACAGTGATGATGAATAAATAAAAAAGCCATTGATTCATTTTTATTGTTGGAGCATTTTATGTCTTGTTTACAAATGTGTACTTTTAAATCCATAATTATTGTACGAAAGAAAGGGGGCTGTTCATTAAATAGTTTCTTTTATAATAATGAAACTTTCTGTAGAAGTCCTATGTGTGTGTCTTGGGAAGTAAAAAATTGGAGGTGTTAAATTCATTAATCATCATTTTTCACTTGTATATCATGTGCTTGATTTTAGTTGATATTTGTCCTTGGGGTAATATTTAACCAAACCATTGAAGTTGATTTTTATAGAATATTTCAGTTAGCCTTCTGACTATTTTAGAATGACTTTTGGGCAGTTTAACTTTCACTTTTAGTAGCCTTTACAAAACCAACTTGTATTTGGTATTTTAAAACTTCACTAGAATCTGGGTGAAATCTGTCAAGTGTTGCACCCCTTCCAGAAAGTGTTTTAGTCAAGTACACATTTAAAGTTTTCTAGATCAAATTTATTTCAGAACTTTGAAGAAACTACAGAGAAAAATCATTTGAAAAGGCTGCAAATTGATGCTAAAAGAAAGTACTTTAATGAACAAAGTTCTGTATATATGTATTGGTAACGAAGAATACTGCAAGGAGAAGACCATAAGTTGCCTTGTTCTAGTTGAACTTGACAACACTGCGAATCCTAAAAAATATGATTAGTACACATTATTTAAATACATATAAAACAAATTCCCAATGTTTCCATTTGTAAAACGTTAACATTTTGATCTGCTTTACAAAGTAAACCTAATATTGAAGACTACGAAGAAAGTAAATGCACATTTCTTTTAATTGTTTAATTACACATTTAATTGTTTTAACTTGACAACACTAAGTAAATAAATTTCTAATAAACAGTAATCCAGCTTAGTGCTATTTCAGAGTAATGGTAGTTAGTAGATTAATATTTTCTTTAATAAACCAGAACCCCAATCTTTGATTAGGGACTTGATTGACATTAGCCTAACATGGTATTGTTTAGCGGTTATTTTATAGAAAAATTTTACAGTTGAATCTAGAATAACAGGATCAAGCACTAAAGATATTGTACAATTGATTTTAAAGCATAATTCAAAGCTAAGTTTAGGTGGACCATTTTAAATATTCATTATATACATTGAGAATAAGTGGAGGCGTTGTTAAATATCCATATGATCAGTAAACGTAGCAGATGATCTAATCTGTTGTTGCTCCGTCTTTCATCGTTGTGTAACATGTTAGTGATCTATACCAGCAATTCTCGCACTAGGGACCGTCAGTCATCTCCGAAATGTCGTAAATTAAGTAAAAAATATGATTTATACAATAAATATATTTTCATAAAATTAAATTTATAGTAATCAGAACATTTACTTTTGGAGTACAGCTTTTTATGTATTTTTTTATTTTCTTCAAAACAAAAAAAAACATCGATAGTTTTGAGAGTTTGAAAAAAATTTTGAATTAAAATAAGTTATTTGGTTACCAAAGTTTGAGAATCGCTGATCTATACTACATTATCAACTTCTGATCAAAGTAAGCAACCTACATAGATCATAAGTAAAAATCAACCTGATAACGAACAGAACTAATTAAATACTGTTCCTACATTTTTAAAAATATCAAGATCCGTTGTTTGATATTAACGGTAGCCGGTAATAGAGCGTTATAGTCTTAACTAGAAGCTTCTTGTGGTCCTTAAGGTAGTTGTCCATTGTTGATAGAAGTTGGCGTTTATGAAGATTATCAATACCTAATGGATTCTTCTTTCTTCGGTTCTGTGCTATTACAGCTTGGGTAACAATATTGTTTTAAAAATACCCCCTCAACACCTATTAGATTCTCTACTAATAAATCAATATACTTTTCCGTAATAATCTTAGTTTTTTTAAGTTAAATATCTGGTTATCTTTATTTTTTCCCTAGTGTTAAAAAAATATTGTTCAGCAAAGATTCTGAAAATCAATATTTATGAAGCCAAGTGTATAGTATACGTATTTCGTATAACTTTTATTTCTGCTGAAAAACGCTAAAATCTGTGGTACTTTTCCCCGCGGTGGACATCACAAGCTTCTCGTTGAGTTGCTTCGCGATCAAACGACAAACATTGCATGACCACTTTTATTATAACTTGTGCCTAATGTCAGGATTGACCATTTTATCTCGTGATGCGAGCTTAACATAGACCCAAAAGGACGCCGAAAAAAAGCTCTTGCAATTGTAGCATCACTGGTGATCCTCATTAAAACTACTGTTCCATTTCATCTTTGGTTGGTGACCTGGTATAAACAACTCGATTTCGCGAGTGTGGATCGAACAAGAAATAAATTCATTATTAATTTTACAATAACATTATAGAAAACTACCTTATGTAAGATTAAGATATCTTTAGACAGACTGTAATCTCGGTATGTAAAGAATGTTTATGGGCTTTGTTATTTATTACGAACAAGCATTTTATTTCATCGATGTCAGTCACCATGTCGAAATGGACATTTGTTCCAACTTTTCCGAAATATGTATTTAGAAACATCCCTAAGTATATCCCCCTAAATTATTGTTTTGGTTGGAAAGTCTGCAGTAGGAATATGATGAAATTAACTCTCAACTGCATATTATAATTTCATAATATTTGACAGTGACCCAAATGTATTGATTATGACCAGTCTTCCAAATCTTTATTTAAATAACTTTCTTTTAGACAATGGTATATTATGGCAAGTTCAGTTTTGGCGACAAAATAGGACATTTGTTTTTTATAACAATCCTTTTACGTAGAATCGAACGATCAACTGTATCTTTTTTTTTTTTCCTTTTGAGATCGATAAAACCTGCATTCGAAGTACAAACTTTCTTTGTCAGTTCATTAAGACTTTTTTGGACAAATATTTACATGCAACATCTACGTTATACATCAAATTTTGATAAACACTATTATCTGAAATAACCCCCTTTTTCAAAACTCATTATACAAGCATATATATATAGATCGTTAAAACAATTTAAAAAAGTGTAAAATCGAAATTGGCCGATATAAGATCAATTATCACCATCAGTTTTGATAACTGACAAAACTTTAAAAAACTGCTTTGTGTGTTTGTCCTTGCATAATTTGTTAATATTACTGTAAACTGTTATAATTAAAACGTTTGAATTTGTGGTCGGATAAAAAAATTGTAACTCTCGTAACATGCGGGTTTGAATCTTATTACCGACGCGCTCGTCCTCTCGGTTCCACTTATAAATGGTAAACAGTAACCCAAGAGTTGACAGTAATAGTGGTGACTAGCTGTTTTCTAAATTAGGAGCGGTTAACGCTAATATCCATTAAGTGGCTTTGCGGGAAGTTAAATAAACATCATATAACTTGTTTACTGGAAGATATTTTTAACTTATTCACACCACATGATAAGGTTAAATGTTTATTGTATAGTTTTCTCTACTTGTAAGTAGTTTAATATTGAGGTATGTCAGAGAGTAGTCATTTCTGGCAACTTAAATGTTTCACGAAAATATTTCAAAATTGAATAAGCATACACAACTATGATAAAAATCGAAATATATAACTTACCCTCATATGGGATCTTATTACCATACAAAATAAATATAACTGACGGATAGTTACTTTTGATATTAGTGTAAAGGAGTCTGTAATGTTTTTGGTGAATGAGATGGCAATTGGATTAGTTTTGACTGTACTATTATATCGTTTTAGGAGTTTTAAGAAAGGTAAAAGTGGTTTATTATTGTGAAATAAAACATTATTTAACATCACGGAAATTACAAAGTGTTATTTGTTCTTTTTATATAAATCGTCCTCGTTTTCTAAACGTTTGTGAAAATGATTGGACTACGGATAGTCTTAAGTTCTACTTATCTACTAATATATTGTGGCAACTAGAAAACACTTGAACTTTGACAATCCCATAGCATTAAGTTATAACAATGAACGTCAAATTTTATTATGCCATTTCCTCTTTTTGATAAAAAAAATAAAATCTTTAAACTGAATTCATAAATATGCACAATCAGGTCGTGTGCTAGTAGAAAGGTGATTGGAGTTATTGGCATGTTCTTACCCTAGTGCAATATATTCCAACATTATCATCTTTGACTATCGGGATGGAAATACACGATTATGGTGTGGACACGGTCGGCAATAGTTACCCATGTAAATGAACCAAAAGCGTCAACTCCTTCCACAAAACCATTAAATCACCTTAGAACTTGTCCTAAGGAAATCGGACAATTAGGATAAAATTCCCGTGTTGTTTTCTCTCTATGTATTCTTACGCCATCATCAGTGCAGGTAAGGATGAAGTGCAACTTTTCAGGACATGTCACACCCAGTTCTTCATTGGCCACAAACACTACTGAATCTGTGCTCTCTTCTTTTGATCCGAGGCAAGTTGTTTTTGTAATTTTCTTCAGTTAGAAGTTTATCGAATGAGAACCGGTCAATAAAAGCATAATGTGACGTTTATTGTACTTCGCTAGTTTCTGTTATTGCTCCTTCTGACGGTTTGTTAGCAACGGTTGACGAAAATAATTCCTCGTATACGGTATGATTCCTACTGTTGATGGACTGATGATATGTGCTTTTAACTGCCAGTTAAAGAAATGGTCGGACATCCATTATTATTATTCCCCTTTCAAAGTTGAGTAGATCTGTTTTTACCGATTGTCTTGCATATTAATCATCATATAACAATAACATCTACAGGATAACCACTTTACACATAATATGATCAGTATAAAATGTATGCGCTAGTCAATGTTTTTGTGTGTGTGCTGTATTTCCCGCAAAGCTACAAGGTGTATTTGCGCTAGACGTTTTAATTTTTGAAGTGAGACACTAGAGGGAAGGTAGCTGCTAATCAACATCACCGACCAACAACTCTTGGGCTACTCTTGTCAGACTGAATAGTGTGGAGATTTTTTTTTTCTCGGAATGGAACACAGCCCTGCACGCTAACTATTGGACCGCGATCTGCCCGCCAGTAAATAGTTTTTTTGTTGTTTTTTTTATGTGTGGATGAATGGTCCTAATAAAACGGCTGTATATTATGATAAGTTTAAAAGAACAAACTTGTTTTATGGAATTATTTTCATAAGAAGAAAATATCTTTCTTCATTTGTTGATTGCTGGGAATTAAGGTTTAGTTTTCAAGTAGCTTTCATCGTTAAAATATACTTACGATTTCCCCTCGATCATCAAATCGAAAGCTTTATTGATTTCTTCAAAGGCCATGGTGTGTGTGATTAATTCCGCTACGGGGAGTCTTCCTTCCAAGTAGCTATCTACGAGTTGGGGGATCCCCACATTACTTTTGTATCCTGGAAAGTTGGAAAGTACGTTATTTTGCATTTAAAATTCCCTGCACTATCGAAAACATACAATAAAGTTTAGAAGCAAGTACTTCAATTTCAATACCCGAGTCATTAGTCTGTAGTTCTACTTTCAAACACGACTGTATGGTGTAACGAAGTACCTGATTACCTCCAAAGAAACTTCCCTTCAAGGTCCTGCCTAGCAACAGCTTGTAAGGCGGGAAAACCAACTGGTCGTCAGCAGTTGCGACTCCGACAATCATGGTAACTCCCCAAACAGGATGGCTCGCTTCAAAGGCTGATCTCTACGAGTTAAGAAAGAAAAAATGCTTCTGGAGTTGTCCCTTCTACCAATTGTGCATTAGACGTATGAATCGAAGTAATTTATCAATCTAAGGCGTTTTAATATTTCTTTTCCTTTGCACTATAACCCATTGTAGGTTGCTGTAAGATGCCCATAATTGAATTTATTCGTATTTTTCTAAACTATTTTACCTAATACATGTTATTTCTAGTATAGAATAATATACATGCATCACCATTCAGTACACTAAAACAACGTAGTCAAGTAACAAATATCAAAGTATTGAATTTCTTGTACCATCGTTTTTACGTTTCCAATACATTCAAATGTAAAATCAACGCCACCTCCAGTCATTTCATGTAAAACCTCTTCAATAGGTCGGTCAAAATCTGCTGGATTCAAGCATTCTGTACAGCCAAAATGTTTAGCTGTAAGAAAATAATTTTAAAAAGTTATATATATATATAATATATA